CTCTGTCTTTTGTTCATGGCCCCAAATATTGCAAGCTGTAGCGATATGCATGTTGCGATATCGATATTTTGATAATTTCGATATATTGCACAGCCCTAATGTTAACATTTTTTTCAACAAATGATTTTAGTTTAAGTGTTTAATTTAGTCAAAATCTAAATGGCTCAACATAATTTAAAGATCAAACTAGGGTTGCACGATTAATTGAATGCGATTGTCATGCGCATTTTGTTAGTAAAGCCGGTTCTGTAATCAGCAGTAAATCATCACGTGCTTTCAGATGGAGCAGCATTTACTACACAGAGCCGTAGTTCACTTACAAGTTACGCAAAAAAATCGCAGACGATTTTATTGCACGATTGTGAAATCGAAGAAATCGTTCGTGATAATGACAGCTGTTTGCATAGCTTCTCAGTGAACTACGTACGGCTCTGTTTAATAAATGCTGCTCCATCTGAAAGCATGTGAAAATACCACATTTAATAACATGTTTTTACTCCAAACTCACTTCATAACGTCAGTCGAGTGTTTGAAATAAATCCTTCTGTGAGATGATGTGGCTTCTTAAACAGAATAAGGCACGCAACATATTTCATAGTATTCTAAGCAGTGATAAAGGCATTGTATATAAATATACAAGTATATAAATATACTTTATTTTAATGAAAATTATAATAATAATAATAACTCAGATAAACCATATATTGTCATAATCGTGTGTTTATTAGTCACGTTGAATTAATAAAAGCAGTTAAATCTTCTGTTTATCCAGCTACCACTATAGGCATTTCCTGGGTTTCTTCTGCGAGGTGTAGGCTATTTGGAGTTTCAGCGCGAGAGCGCCCTCTGGCCTATGGATGGAGATTTACTGCTGATCACAGAACCGTGCTTCACTGAAAGATACGCATGACAATCGCAGCTTCTGTCGAATCGCAATTTCGATTCCATTTCGATTTATCGTGCAGCCCTATGTGGCATGTGGATTTGATGCTCTTGAGCAAAAAAGCAAGCTTATATGCAGGAGATATTATATATTATATATTTTGTCATAATACAAAATGTTGTTTATTGTTTGTCACAGCAGGTTAGGATAAAAGATATATATGGAAGAGATTTTAGAAGAGAGCTTTTTAGTGCCTTGATGTAATGTAAAAACTCCTAATAGTACAAAAGTACAAAGCAAAATACAATTAATTTTTTTCTTTTGATTTCTTGGTAAAATGACCCAGACATGTTCCTGACTAAACCAATGTGGTTCGGACAATGTTATCACGGTGTGAGTAGCTGGGTAATTTATTCAACGACACATCATACTAGTTAGGCAGAGTGTTATGTCACTATTCTGATTGAAAAGATCAGACTCAAAGGGTTAATCTCATTCGCTCATGAATGTGCCCAGAAGACTTTTTTTTTTTTAAATGCTCCTTCTGTGTTCCATGGAAAAAAAAAACATACAGGTTTGGTACAACATGATGAAAAGTAAGTAATGACAGATTTGTAATGTTTGGGTGAACTATTTCTTTGATAATTGTAATATAAAAACAATCATAGTGGTGCACTGACCAGGGAGGCAGTCGAGATGATGGTCACATGGGTCAATGACATCAGCATCAAGCGTTGCGTTCCCATTACTTTTGTTTTTGCCACGACGTTTATCTTTATTGGGGAAACAGACAGACACAGGCCTCCTATGAAATCCTTTATTCAGAAATCAGCTGTGAGTTTGCAAATTATTTACGCTTAGAGGTTTAAAGATCTGGGAGAACTATATCCGATCTTATAATCAAATATTTATCCAGATCTTTCAATATATCTTGGTCTAAACACCCCAAAGATTTTGGTCTTGAATATCTGGGTGAAAAAATCTTTAAAAAAACCCTGCTGCAGGAAACAAATCTGACAGACTGTAAAATCACTGTTATTGATTAGACTTGAGAATGTCCTTTCATACCTTTTCTTTTGTTGGCTGGCCAAGTGTCTACAGGCTTCATATCCTCATAATCAGTCCAGTCAAAGAGGGCCATGTCCAGAGTCGGCATCACCTCCCCTTGAGCCTTCCCTCGACCCGACTTCTGAATGAGACAGATTTAAAACATGGTTTTAGAAAGGTTTATTCTGGGTGATCCACTTGACACTTTTAACCCTCAATCTGTCCTTGGAGTCAATATGACCCCAATCAACTATTACTTGATTCCCTTCATCTCAGTGGAATAAGATTTTGTGACTTTTTTACATTTTCTACCTATATTCACATAAAAAAACTGGGGTTGATTCGGTTGTTCTGAAGGTATGTAACATTTTTTTTACTAATCTGGTATTTGGGGTCAACCCCACATTGAAATGAATGGGAAATGCAAAAAAATCTATATACAGTGGGTACGGAAAGTATTCAGACCCCCTTCAATTTTTCACTCTTCGTTATATTGCAGCCATTTGCTAAAATCATTTAAGTTAATTTTTTTTCCTCATTAATGTACACACAGCACCCCATATTGACAGAAAAACACAGAATTGTTGACATTTTTGCAGATTTATTAAAAAAGAAAAACTGAAATATCACATGGTCCTAAGTATTCAGACCCTTTGCTGTGACACTCATATATTTAACTCAGGTGCTGTCCATTTCGGCTTCACAACAACTCTGTGACTGTTCTTGAATGGCCCAGCCAGAGCCCTGACTTAAACCCAATTGAGCATCTCTGGAGAGACCTAAAAATGGCTGTCCACCAACGTTTACCATCCAACCTGACAGAACTGGAGAGGATCTGCGAGGAGGAATGGCAGAGGATCCCCAAATCCAGGTGTGAAAAACTTGTTGCATCTTTCCCAAAAAGACTCATGGCTGTATTAGATCAAAAGGGTGCTTCTACTAAATACTGAGCAAAGGGTCTGAATACTTAGGACCATGTGATATTTCAGTTTTTGTTTTTTAATAAATCTGCAAAAATGTCAACGATTCTGTGTTTTTCTGTCAATATGGGGTGCTGTGTGTACATTAATGAGGAAAAAAAATTAACTTAAATGATTTTAGCTGCAATATGCAATATAACAAAGAGTGAAAAATTGAAGGGGGTCTGAATACTTTCCGTACCCACTGTATTTTTTTTTTCATTTGTCAAAAAAAATCTATAAATCTGGCATAAATCGGAAAATTTCCACACAGAAATGAAGGCCTGGTAAAAGAGCACAAATGCAATGTAGAAAAGACATGCTCACTCACATGCACATGCACATGCACACGCGCGCACACACACACATGTGTGACTGCAACAGAGAGCATTTTTATAGAAATTGGCAAATAAAATCAATAAATCCTGCATAAAATGGCCACACAAAAACAAAAGCCTGATACTAGAGCACAAATGCAATGTGGAACGAGCATACTCACTCACGTACATACACACACGTGCACAAACTCTCTCTCTCTTTCTCTCTCTCCCTCTCTCACACACACACACACACACACACACACACACACACACACACACCCCATTCATATTCTGGGGGGGGGGGGTTGTGTGTGGTTTTTATTTACATTTAAGTTAAATAAAATTGTTTTGATTTTACTTTTTAGATTGAAAAAACAAGTTTTAGTGACAACTTGTGTGGCATTTTTGCAAATTTATGTGGCATTATTGCAAAAGCGGGCACTTCAAAATACCTCAAACAACAACAACTAATTCTAACCTTTGAGAAAAATACTGTTTTTAAAGTATTTTATAATGTTTCAGTATATATTTACAAAATATATATCAGAAAAGTTGTGAGAGTAGCAGTTAGGGGAAGTCGTGGCCTAATGGTTAGAGAGTCGGACTCGTAACCCAAAAGGTTGCGAGTTCGAGTCTCAGGTCCGGCAGGAAGGTGGGGGGAGTGAATGTACAGCGCTCTCTCCCACCTTCAATACCACGACTGAGGTGCCCTTGAGCAAGGCACCGAACCCCCGACTGCTCCCCGGGCGCTGCAGCATAAAAGGCTGCCCACTGCTCCAGGTGTGTGTTCACGGTGTGTGTGTGTTCACTGCTGTGTGTGTGCACTTTGGATGGGTTAAATGCAGAGCACTAATTCCTAGTATGGGTAACCATACTTGGCCACATGTCACGTCACGTCACGTTAGTCACTTCCAGAAAAATGAATGGATCTCTATGGGCCTCTGCTGGATATATATGGTCATTACACTTTTTTTTTTTTTTCAAAAACTGTCATTTCTACAAGTTTTTCTCTAACCAGCAGATGGCATAATTCTACACCTAACACCTAGCTCAATATCCAGAAACAACTTAAATCAAATTTAGATCATCATTTAAGTGATTTTTTTTTCATGAAAATATAATATTTAACATGCAAGCTAATGGTGTGGTTGAGGATTTTTGTGGTAAATAGGTACAAAAGTACTTAATATCTCCCAAAACACAGCTCTAATGTATAGATGAGAAGTAAACAAAAAAATGGTATATTATTTGTATGATTAAAAATGTATATATTTTTAACAATTACTCTTTCAATTTTGGGGTCATATTGACCCCAAATACCATTAGTGTAAATGAGAACCATATGAGGGTTAAGCAAGGTGCTAACTCAAAACCTGTGATATAACAACTTTGCATTGATCTATATTACAGGATAGCTGTACTAACAACATTAAAATAGCTACGAAATTCTTAAAGATACTAAATAATATCCAGAATGCTAACTTCTGTGAAGTTAAATATTGTGCTTGTCCTGGCTCACCCAGTCAGAAAAAGCATCACGTTTAGTGACAGCACCACCTTCTGGTCATCTTCTGGACAAAAGGCTTTTTGTATTTTTAGTACTAAAGGCATTTTCTGCATAATTCAAAAAGCAATAAGCAGTTATGCCATCACAATAAATAAAGCTCTGGGTTTATAATTACAGGTTATGAGTTCAAATCCCACATGGGATGATGTTGAGATTGTTCCTCTGTTGAGATTGATTTTGTCTGGCATTGCATTTAGTGGAATATAGCCTGTGCTTGTCCCTGTAATTGTTGCATACACCTATATTGTTTTTCACCTTCTACACAGCTTTGGAAGCTTTGATAAGATTTTTTAATATTTTATCTTTGAAATAATGTACACTGATAAATATTGCATAATGAGACTGGGGACATTTAAAACCATAAATAGGCTCAATGTTGATAACATGTTGATATTAATTTACAATTAACTGCCTGGCCTCACACCATGATTCCAATTTAAAGGGCTCTTGATGTCCAATTTTTTAATCATTTTTAAATACAAGTGTATGAAAGACATGAAAGGCTTGATGACCAGTCATTTTATTAGTCATTAGACAAAAATACTACTCCATGCTTTATAATTAAAGATCTAGGTGTTACATTAGAAAGCAAATTGCTTTTTGAAAATCATATTTTCCATGTTACCAAAACAGCATTCTTCCACCTTTGAAACAATGCCAAGTTACGGAACATTATCTGTTTCTAATGCAGAAAAGCTATACTCCATGCATTACTGACCTCAAGACTAGATTATTGTAGTGCACTGCAAAGTGCCTGCCCTGCATCCGTAAACAAGCTACTGATGATTCAAAATGCAGCTCCTAGTGTTCTTGCCAGGTCAAATAAAAATGTATTATCTTATCACACCAATTTTATCATCTCTAGACTGGCTAACTCTCAAGTTCTGCTTTAGTTTTAAAATATTGCTACTGATGAAGCCCTAAATAGTTGAGCTCCTTTGTATTTAACAAAACCTCTATCTCATTACAATCCATCATGCTCTTTAAGGTCACAAAACTCTAGGATATCAAAGTCCACTATAGAAGCTTTTCCACATTTCGCTTCTAAACTCTGGAACAGCCTTCATGATAATGGTCTGCACTCAGATTCACTCTCTCAGTTTCAATGTGGATTAAAGACATCTCTCTAAAGCACATCTCAGAATTCCAGTTATGTCTAATGAAATTGTAACAAAAGCACATCATCTTTGTCTAAAATAACATGCACAGCAGTTATGCTAATCATTTTGCTTTCTGGTTTCTATCTTAAGATGCCCATCCTGATGTTGCACCAATTCCAATTTGGGTCCAGCATCACATGTGAAGACTTCAGATGACTTACGAGACTGACAAATATTATCCATGTCATAACCATTACGATCACAAGCTGAATCGTCGCCTTAAGGATAGCATCATTTTGTCTAACTAAACCTTATTTTTTTCTTTTTTATTATAATTTTTTATAGTGCAAATTTTAGTGAATTGTGTTAAATCCACCTAGGGTCAATTTTTACATAATTTTAGAACTTCAGCGTAATACAAGGGTTAGAAAGATTAAAGCAGATGTAAGGAATTTAAGGAAATGTTCCCCATATTTATTAGATCCCAAAGACACTGTCACGCTGCTACATGCATTTTCCGTAAAGCTGCTTTGACATTTTATGTACTGTGAAAAGCACTAAACAAATAAATGTGACAAAGCAAGAAAGAATGAAAGAAAGCAAGAAAGAAAGACTACAAAATCAATGTGAAAGTAATAAAAGTAGACCTGATTGACAGTCTTCACATACAATATCCATGACTGCAAATCCCAATTCTAAAATTCCCTTGGATTTTCCATGTCCATTGAAACCCTAAATAGAGCTGTATGAACATTCAAAATCTATGCTTTTGTGTTCTAAAGGAGCTAGATTTACTAAACAAGGCAACTTGGTGTGAGACTGCAATCCCATATGAGCACTGATGGGAATGGAAAGTTCTGCAAGTGATCTACTGACATTGTGCAAATTAAAGAACACAGACGCAGTGAACTTATTTCCATAATGAACAACACGATCCAAAAAACAGTAAACTGACTACCACAAATTTTAGTAAACACAATATATAATTCATTTAAATACTCTCCTCACATCTATTTTCCTAAAATCAGCCACAAAAATGACTTTTCATTGCTAATTTTTCACTGCATGTCTTTAGCAAATCCTGACACTAGTGTTTTTTTTTAAACCACCAAAAGAGGGTTTGCGCTGGTGCAAGCTATTAGTAAATCTGGCTCCTAGATGTGTATACACTGAAGTCTGCACTCTAAAGCTTCTGGAATCACATGCTGATATGTGTGTGATCTCTTGTAGAGTCTGTGTCTTTGCCAGCGGCTGGAGCAGCAGCGGCACAGACGCAGTGCAAGTGAACAGCATTGAGGACGGTGCTCTTCTGGGAGTTGAATGACTGGAGAGGCGAAGGACAGAGAGAATCTAACCAGAGTAATAACTGACTTCTGCTGCTCATTCCCTCAGCAATACAAGGAAAAAACACTGCGTGCTATTCAAAATTGCTTTTGCATCACGTTTGAGAACTGGATCATTTATGACATGCCATCAAGATACCACATTCTCTCAGTTTCCCTCTTGACATTTTATTTCATGATCAAAATATACCTTAGTTGTAGTAGAGATAGATGGATAGGTATATCGATTGTCTCTAAAGACTACAGCTGATCTACTAGAGGAATGGCAGTTAGATTAAGAGCAAACTAAAGATCTGTCTTTGTATTTCATCTAAGGCTGTTAGTGATCAAAGCCTAATTAGAACTGTCCAAAGTACTTTAAGTCATTGAACTGCAAACCACAGCATTTGAGTAGCAGCTGAGGGTTTGTGTGTTACAGTCTTAATTCTCCATTGACACACACTGTATGTAGCCATACCACTAACACATGCTTCTATACCATTTGGCATTATAGTGCATACTGGCATTAGAGTTTTGCACACTAACCTCATGCAGCTTTGACAGACTTGTTCTGTCAGTTCATCAAGATGTAATCAAATGTTTCTTCAAGCATGTCTGTTGCTTGTATCCGAGCAACAGCATTTCTTGTTAAATTTCCGAGATGTCTCACAAGTCTCACATCACAGTCGCCGAAAGATGAAAAAAAAAAAATTACATGTCATTTGACTGTTTCTACATGTTAACACCCTTGTTGGGATCTTTTGAAATAATGTGCAGAGCAGCTGGTGCTACACACAGCGAGAAGCACCACAAGGTTTTACAGACTTAACAGTGTTTTGCTCTTATTGTGAGCAAATCTAAAATAAACAATAGTATCTATCCCACCTCTTTTATTTCACCATGAGTGGGTGCACTGACATGTAAATGTGTACCATACCTGTCCGTAACCATCACAGACATTAGATATGGCCAAACTGTCCACAACCAATGGCAATGCAAACTGCTTCACTTTCCTGTCAAATTTTGCAGTTGTGAATTGAAAATATAGGCAGTCATCGAACTGAATATGACAAGACAAGAAGCATTTCTCTATTTTCAACATATTATGCACACAAAAAAAAGATTGCATGGGTGAATATTTTAATATAAAATAATTATTTGAAAACAGTTCAACTTGATTACTTTACAAAAATTTATTTTTCTTGTTCTTTTATACTGTTCTTCTATCTTTTTCTTTATTTTCCAAAAATCCATTTATTTATTTAATTTAAATAAAAAGACCATTACCGTTGTGTTATTCTAAAATAAAATAAAATAAAATAAAATAATTCCTCAAGATTTAATCTATTTAAGATTGAAATTTGGAAATCACCTATTGACTTAAATCATAGAATTTTCACCAGTATCAGCTTATGCTCATCTCTGTGTCTCATTCTGGTAGCTTACTTTCCTTTCTGGATTATTTTAGCAAAAACACTATTCTTTTGCTGCCTTGTAAGCATTTGCATTTCCTTAAGGAAATCCAAATGTAGTTTTTTATTAATATCAGCATCCAGGCCTAGTTGATGCCTCTCAAGAGAATCTGAATATATACGGGGAGTGATAAAAAGATATCCAGGGAGGAGAATGGAGTAGAACAGATGGCTGTGAAAAAGAGGAGCAGGAGGATGGGCGAGCGACATCTCACCCCTCACTCGCTCTGTTGACAGCTCCCCTCCTCCCTAGTGCAAAGCGAGCTGGGTAATTTTACTCGTGTATAATCCAGCCCCGGGCGGCACTCAGTAATAAGCACGGCACAGAAGCACAGGTAAATAAATCTGTGTGATGAAGCGCTGCACACCACAAGGATGACAAGTACCTCCACTACTGGCTCCAAACAGCATTTCAATATCTATATCTGCCACAGTGTGCGGTTCAAATGAAGATGTTCATTTTGGGATCTAACAACAAAATGACAGAGTGGAAAAAGACTCAAGGCAGTTTAACGCAGACTGAAAGCAGCAAAACGTCCCAAGAGTAATGCCCAAGAGTAAAGTATTTCTAACAATAAAACCAGGATGCTGGTGAACTGTTTAACAAAGATCTTGTATATATATATATATATATATATATATAAAATAATCAAGACAAACTGCTCTGCGCCCCCCCC